GTTTCTTCAAAATCATCACAGCCATAAACTCATTCACACCGGAGTAAAATGGATACATTTCAGGCTATGTTCGTTTGAGGCATTCAAGAAACCGACGTAATATGGCATGGCGTAACCGAATTAACCACCGTTGTAGCTCAAATTTGAAATTGGTTTTGTGCTTGAGTCATTAGAAACGAATTCGCCATGGCTGCAACAACGTTTAATTCCGTAGTGCCACACCAAGATACGTTCATTCCTACGATGCCTCAAACTTAAAGAGACTAAAAATCTCATAAACAGATTTCGTTTCGTCAAAATCATCACAGCCATAAACTCATACACAGACCCACGTGAATGGCTCCTTTTTAGGCAATTTAAGAAACCAAATCGCAATGGATTCTACAATGGTGTTTAAATGCGTAACGCCGCGCCATGTTACATTGGTTTCTTAAATTGCCTGAAATGAACAAATCCTGAAAATCAGAGAAACATATTTCATTACTTCAAAATCATCATATGCCATAAAAGTTTTACTCACACCAGCACGAAATTTAGGCGTTGGAGGCAATGAAAGAAACCAAATTGCCATGGCTGGTATAATGGTGGTTAGTAAGGTAACACAACGCCAAGTTATATTCAGATTTCTTCACTGCCTCAAACAAACAAAGCCTAAAAATCACTGTAGCAGAATTGGGAAGCCTAAAAATAAGAGCCTAAATTCGTTTTAGCTCAGATTTGAAATCCAGTGTTGGGCTTGAGTCATATAAGAAACGAATTCGCCATGGCTGCAACAGCGGTTGAATCCGTAATGCCATGCCAAGATACATTCGTTCCTTATATGAACAAAGGCTAAAAATCTCAGAAACGGATTTAGTTTCTTCAAAATTATCGCAGCCATAAACTCATTCACCGGAGTAAAATGGATACATTTCAGGCTATGTTCGTTTAAGGCATTCAAGAAACTGACGCGATATGGCGTGCCGTTACCGAATTAACCACCGTTGTAGCTCAAATTTGAAATTAGTTTCGTGCTTGAGTCATTAGAAACGAATTCGCCATGGCTGCAACAACGTTTAATTCCGTAGTGCCACACCAAGATACGTTCATTCCTACGCTGCCTCAAACTTAAAGAGACTAAAGATCTCATAAACAGATTTCGTTTCTTCAAAATCATCACTGCCATAAACTCATACACAGACCCACGTGAATGGCTACATTTCAGGCAATTTAAGAAACCAAATCGCAATGGATTTTACAATGGTGTTTAAATGCGTAACACCGCGCCATGTTACATTGGTTTCTTAAATTGCCTGAAATGAACAAAGTCTGAAAATCAGAGAAACATATTTCATTACTTCAAAATCATCATATGCCATAAAAGTTTTACTCACACCAGCATGAAATTTAGGCGTTGGGGGCAACGAAAGAAACCAAATTGCCATGGCTGGTATAATGGTGGTTAGTAAGGTGACCAAACGCCAAGTTACTTTCAGGTTTCTTCACTGCCTCAAACAAACAAAGTCTAAAAATCACTGTAACAGAATTGGGAAGCCTAATAATCAGAGCCTAAAACCGTTTTATCTCAGATTTGAAATACAGTGTTGTGCTTGAGTCATATAAGAAACGAATTCGCCATGGCTGCAACAGCGGTTGAATCCGTAATGCCACGCAAAGATACGTACGTTTCTTATATGAACAAAGGCTAAAAATCTCAGAACCGGATTTCATTTCTTCAAAATCATCACAGCCATAAACTCATTCCCACCGGAGTAAAATGGATACATTTCAGACTATGTTAGTTTGAGGCACTGAAGAAACTGATGCAATATGGCGTGGCGTTACCGAATTAACCACCGTTGTAGCTCAGATTTGAAATTAGTTTTGTGCTTAAGTGATTAGAAACAAATTCACCATGGCTGCAACAACGTTTAATTCCGTAGTGCCACACCAAGATACGTTCATTCCTACGATGCCTCAAACTTAAAGAGAAAGATCTCAGAAACAGATTTCGTTTCTTCAAAATCATCACAGCCATAAACTCATACAGAGACCCACGTGAATGGCTACATTTCAGGCAATTTAAGAAACCAAATCACAATGGATTCTACAATGATGCTTAATTAGGTAACACCCCGTCATATTACATTGGTTTCTTAAAGTGCCTGAAATGAACAAAGCCTTAAAATCAGAGAAACATATTTCATTACTTCAAAATCATCATATGCCATAAAATTTTTACTCACACCAGCACGAAATTTAGGCGTTTGACGTAATGAAAGAAACCAAATCACCATGGCTGCTTCAACGGTGGTTAATTCCGTAACGCCACGCCAAGTTGCATTCAATTCTTCAATGCCTCAAACTGTAAAAACCTGAAAATCAAAGTAATTAATTTCATAAATTCAAAATCTGAACACCCGTGATTTCTTATACACACCCACACAAAATTGATACACTTGAGGCAATCTAAGAAACCAAATTGCCATGGCTAGTATAATGGTGGTTAGTAAGGTAACACAACGCCAAGTTATATTCAGATTTCTTAACTGCCTCAAACAAAAAAAGCCTAAAAATCACTGTAACAGAATTGGGAAGCCTAAAAATAAGAGCCTAAATTCGTTTTAGCTCAGATTTGAAATCCAGTGTTGGGCTTGAGTCATATAAGAAACGAATTCACCATGGCTGCAACAGCGGTTGAATCCATAATGCCACGCCAAGATACATTCATTTCTTATATGAACAAAGGCAGCCCGGCAATTACTCGTAAATCTTTTAATTAAGCCGACGATTAGCAAATTCACTTCCTCGCCCGACCTGCATAGCATCTTCAAAGATCGAATCGTGCCTGAATTGGACGATTATACGATTGGAATCCACGTTTTTACCTTCAATTTCCGGATCTTTGATGCGATTCAGATCTTTCCAGGTAACCTACCGCGTTCTATTAGATGACAAGTCAAATTCTAGGCGAAAAAAGGTAGGCGACCAATTTGGCGTCCCCAATATCTCGCCCAGACGCCTAGGCGTCGCCAAGGCGACGCCTTGATAACTATGTCCCCAAATGGTCATGTTGTCATAATACAACACCGAAGGTTGATGTCAAAAGAAACGTACCATTTAGGGATATAAATACTCACTCCATCCCAAAAAGATCCTTACGTTTTTAATTCAAAAAGGTCAATTTATGCCCTCTTTCATCACCTATTTTTGTTGATCATTTGACAAAATAATAAAATCATGTCACCTCCTTTTATAGATCTTTTCACGTAGCTTTTAAATACATGAGTTTTATTCTTAACTTTACATTTTTTTGGTTGACCTACATCAAATTAGACTTGGCTGCCTTCGGTTTTTTTTTAAATTACATTCATCAAATTGGACGTGGCTGCCTTTGTGCTAACAGGCTTTGCATGTTATAGCACAGTAACAAAAATTTAAGAGATTATGCAGAATCTTGAAACATTAGTCATTGTCAATTTACAAGAAAACATGAAAACAGACAATAATTGCATGATATTAAAAGCTAACCATTTGAGTTCATCGCCATGGACCTGTTAAAAAGGTTGTCCTTAAGTTTCATTTGTCACAAGTCACAACAGAACGTAGAAAAATGATAACACCAAAATTAAGTGACTAACCAATTGAATCGCTATTATTCCTGTTGACCTGATAGATGAGAAAAAGTTCGAAGACACTTTCTTTATATAACCCTTTGCAGTAAGCATCATAAGATATTTATCCTCCGTGAACTCATCCAAAGGAATTATTGAAGTTATTCTTTCACCATCAGACAGACAATATCTAAATCCAGAATGTAGACAATCAAAGTAAATAGAGGAGCAACGTATGTCTTTCACAATAACACACACACACACACATATGTGTGTGTGTATTGTTGCTAATTTACAAAATTTAGAGCTACTATGTTACTACTCCACAACTTGCGTCTCATGTTCGTGATGCGTGCACAATGGCGCATCGCACATCGAGGCTCCAGACCCCCTTGGTGCGTTAGTGCGCATCGCGCCTTAAATAACTATGTTGGCTCCTTAACCATGTGTCGGTGGTGTAAGATCAGAAATTTTTCAGCCAACAATGTATTCTGACAAAGCCAAACACCGTATTTGAGCAGTATGGGCTAAGTGAAAAATAGCTTTGGGAGTTCTACGTGATAAAAATACTTTGGCTAGGATGAATTGGAAATTCTATCATTTGCAGTCAAACCAGCTATGTCGTAGAGTACAGAGTGTCTCGCGATTAAGGAAAACTATGTTCCTCGGCATGCGGCAGTGATGCACATGCTACGATGGATAAGTTCGTAGATGAGACTCGATAGGATTCAAAACAAGGTTACAAGGACAGGTAGAATTGGCACCCGTGGAGGACATGTTGCGGGAAGCTAGGTTGATGTGGCAGAGATGGGAGGTGGTAACGATGGTGGTTGATCTAGGATCATTAGAGCCAGTTTTTTGTTTGGGGTCCTTCGATGGATCCTCATAGTCACGAACATTATTATCTCCCATTTGTTCTGAAATAAGCATAATTTTTTTAGAGTAAATTCTTTAAATAGTCCTTTATAAATGGAGGGTTTCCATATTAGTCCATATTTATATAATATTATATTAACAATCCTTATTTATTGGGTATCATTCCACGTTTAGCCCTCCGTCTATTTTTCTGTCTCCATGTCGTTAGACAAGGATCAAACGTGGAATGGTACCTAATCAATAAGAACCGCAAAAATAATATTTGATGATATGGACTAAATATGGAAATTCTTCTATTATAAAGGACTATTTAGAGAGTTTACTTTTTTAAAACCATTTTTAATATTGAAAAAACTGCCTTCATCTTTGAGTATTTTCACCCATTTGGACTTTTTGCAGTCAACTATTTTCAAAATTTGACCTATAATTAAATAAAATTATTAAATAAATCCAATAAAATTATTTTTGTATCAATATCTAATATTAATTTTATTTAATTCATGGTCAAAGATTGCCGATTTTGACAAAAAAACTCAAAAATAGATCAATACTCTGGGATGAAGGTAGTAATAAATATGAAAAGTATATGATTGTAGTTTGTATATAAAAAGTCAAAACTATCATTAAAAATAATTTACCAAAAAATAATTTTTAAATATGAGAATTATCTTGGAAGATATAGGAATTAATAAGTAATTTGAAATCATCCAAAATAGGAGTAAATATAACATCCATCCTCAAAATAAGAATTTCATTTTTTTCTCAATATACGAGTTTGTATTGTGACATAATGACATTGTATGAGTATATTATATATTGGCATTATTAGCATTATACTCTTATTTTGGAAATTAAAATTTCAAGCTCTTACATTATTAAAATTCGAATAGATTTTCGCATTAAAAATTGAATTTTTTGATAAAGTATTTTTGTGGTGTACAAATTTTGATTTTTTATAAATAAACTACAGTTATACATTTTTCCTATCTATTAATTTTTATATTAAAAGTGGTTTTAAAAAAAAATTCTCCAAAAAGTTCGTTATAACGGGGGAATTTCCATATTTAGTCCATATTATCAAATATTATTTTTGTGGTCCTTATAGGTTGGGTACCATTCCACGTTAGGTCCTTGTCTAATGGCACGAAGATGGAAAAATAGACGGAAGACTAAACATGGAATGATACCCAAAATACTTGGAAAAATAGACGGAAGACTAAACGTGGAAGAATATAATATACTTGTTTAATAGTTTAGTGAACCAAATTAAAGATAATTAACCTAAATTTGGAAATTAAGTGATAACAAATTATAAATATAAAATTTACCAAGGGAGAGATGCAACTCAATGGACCTGAATCGTGCGATGAAGCAGAATACCGGGTTGGTCTCTTCTTCTCCGTCTGATCAAGATGCGATGAAGAGGAAGATAAAAAATTGAACCCAAATATGCTTCAAATCTTCAGTCGATGAGGAAGGATAGACATCGACCATGCGAGATAATCGTTATTGGATTAAAAAATTTATCCGGCAATATTTAATACAGCGTATTTGATGAAATTTGGATCAGTCATGGGTCGGGTTGGGATCGGGTTGGGCTTTTCTTCTCCGACTAGTAGCTACTAATAAACGACGACTAGACCTCGCCTTTCTCGGCAGATGCCTATCAATTAATTCAAGCCACCACACACTTCCTAATAAGGTTTCAGCTTCATCTTTAGATGGTACAATCGTATGCATCTCATACGCTGGAGCTAATGAAATAGCCTTTATCTTCACATAATCAAATGTAAATGGGTTATCAAGTGACTTAACACCAAAAATATCTTCTGTTCCTTTAAATCAAGAAGCAGCACAAGACATTGATCCAAAAATATACATATACATATACATATACATACACATACACATATACATATACATATACATATACATATACATATACATATACATATACATATACATATACATATACATATACATATACATATACATATACATATACATATACATATTGCAGCGAGTCGAGTTTTGCCATATCGAACACAGCTAGTTTCTCTCCAAGATGCATCGCTATCACTGTTTTCTGAGTCATATGATGATCGGAAACCTGTTAAGCATTCAGGTTTGTCAGTAGAACTATGAGATTCCTCATGCATCTGCTGATGGTTTTGGAAATTCTTATTTCGCATGTGTGGAGGCCTATAGGCTTTCACCGGTTCTATGATGTTCTGTTTCTTATATACAGACATATTGTGATCAACAACTGGATATGCAGAACTGGATTTGTTATTGAAGCCATAATGGAGAAACATCCTAAGAATAGCTACAAGACCTGCCACCTACAAAGTAAAATAATAATAAAATACAAAGCCCGAAATACACAATGAGTTAATTGCCATCTTGGATATCAGGATTCATTACAACACTTGACCAATTATGTGTGGAATAAAAAGCACAACTTTAAAATAGAGTGAATAGATAATGAAAAATATTCTCCGTCAAAAATTTTGTTCAATTAGGTAGTATGTGAAATAATGAATCGCTTCACCCATGTGTGTGACGTCTTGGTAGTCCTTAAGTAATACCCATTTGTGTGGACGTGTGGTGTATTTTGATATACTCTCTGGGACTAGGAATATGTATTTGTGGAAAAAGTTGGACATGAAGGTATGTTTTTCATGGTCTAAAAAGTTGTACAGCCAGATGAGATAAGTGCATTTCCAAAGGAATACAAAAACTATTTTATGATGCATTCATCTTTGTTCAATGAAACCACATGTAACTTGATGAAGACCCATTATCAATAGGGCACAGTCACAATAATACAATAATAAACTTCATTTGTGTAATATAGTAAAAATAATAAATTATTTTATTATAATATTTGAGACTCACTTCATTAGAATTTGACAAGTAACAATACATTTGACAATTTTTTGACACGTCAACATGCCATGTAATTTACGGAGTATGAGTTGGCGATCAACTCTTTGCCATATTAAAAACATGCTTCGTATTTTTTTCCGTAATTAAAGCTAATTTTTGAGTTCTCACATTATAAAAATTGAAGATAAAATACTCCTTGTAATTTATTGCGTCAAACAATTTTAGTAATTTTAACCTAATAATTTTGGTAATTCTTGCTTTATGTAAGTTGCGTAAGTTTTTATCCATTCTTCTTACCTTATGTGATTTTAGTTATTCTCACCAAAGATAATTTTCTTTTTAAACATTATTTACCATATTTTTATGATCTTCTCCTTGGCGTGTTTTTGGATTGAAAGAGTTTTCATTCAAAAGATTTATGGATTAACTTTAAATTACATCAAGAATGATGTTTGAAATTGCTCTATAATGGGTTGTAACTATTTTTTTTTAAATTTCTTATTTACTGATGGTGTTGGGAGCAAATATCTTGCATTTAAATTATTCCAGAAAAAGGTGTAATTGAATCAAACGGTATGAGTTTTATTTTTGGTTTGAAAATGGATACAAGCCTTGGATATGAGTGTATTGAAATGTACATAAGTGTAGTAAAGTTTACCTTGGTTTTAGGTACATTAGTGTAGAGGTTGTAATACAACCAAAGTGGTTATGATGTTCTTGGTATAAGAAAGAGTGGATAGATGATGAAAGGAAATGGAAAATTGAAACAACTATAAAAGAGAGAAAAGGAGGAGAATGTAAAACAAGGGAATCCTAGTACGAAATTTTATGTGTACTTGTGCATAGGACTCTGTACATGAGAAGTAATGATCATGAGTAAAATTTATTTCATTATACATTTAGATCCTTTTTCAAAATAATAAATGGCAGTTGACTCGCGCATCAGATTCGTATATTACCACATCAGCAACATTGGAAATAAACTTTGCCGATTAGTAAAAAACTGGTGTATGACTCCCAACATCAGGTTCATATTTTCCTATGTAATCAACATTGCAATAAGCGTCTCACAAAATTATGCAACCTGACATTTGGAGATGTGCGTGATGCTAGGAAAGCGGAAGTATAAATTATGTAATAGGATTCAATTAATGTTTTTGTTGTTGGGTTAAGAGTATGTATGTTTTGAAATTAAAGATTTGCCAAAAACACACAAAGACTTTAAATTTAAGGATTATTTAGAGTGGGAGATTGAGTAGTTTTTTTGTGAACCAATTGTATAGAGAAGTAATGGCATGTAATTCTACATCCCTACTGCACCTACACTTTGAAAATCAATATGTTGGTTTAATTAAAATGAACATACTTAGCTTATTACTTGTGATTGGTATTCTTAAAAATGCATTAAATGTGATTAAAAGAGGTTATTTTATTCTAATTTTACTTTGTTTTTTAAGAAATACATTAGTTTCAGTAAATGGTCTACTTCTATTTGATTTAATCAAGTAAAAATACATGTTTCGTAAAAATTTTGCACATTTTCTGAGGAAATGAGAGACAACTCTAAAAATTTGACTATTCAACGAAGTTTGATAATTATGCTAGTTGAATTGGCCTCATAATGATGCTTCTAAAGCTCTTTTCAGCAATAATAATAGAATGTCGTACCCTCGGTGGTCTGAAGTTGTTGCTTGAGGGCAAGCAACGTTTAAGTGTGAGGAATTTGATAAGTTCATTTTGTTCTTATTTTATTCTACATATTTTAAGCGTTATTGCACAAAAATAGTGATAAGCAGTACATAATTTTATGTTAAACTGAACAATATCTTTGATTTGTTCTTTAAGGAATAATAATTGGTT